AACGAGAAATGTTCCAAATTCTGGTAGTCATCTGAAGTTTCAGGATATTGCTGTGAAAAACTTTAATTCAGTATTTGCTAGCAGTGCTTTTCGCAACGGTATTTTTTAATCATAACCGTCTTGCTGCATTCTCAATGGTTTTTTAAGTCGTCTTTCTTTCGATTGTGCGTGGCTGCCACAGAGATAGGGTATTTTAGACATTATGTAGAACAGTGAAAGTCTCAGAGGGCGAATTCCTGCGTTTTGAACCTGGATTAATGAAAACCGATAATGCTCAAGTCTTAAAATATTATTTAAAAATTATAACGAATACAATATTAGCTCTTAAATAATTATAGGTACTCTTTGCTGTCCTACTTTTTATAATGTATGTCACGGATTGTTTCATCGCGATCACAATATACCAGTGGTCTTTTCTTACAAAGCTCTATCGACGTTCCTTGATTTCGTTGTCTGCTCGATCTGAGGTTATCTCTTAGATTTAAGAGGTAGCGATTCGTTTCATTCAGTGGGAAACAAAATTTCTTTTTGATTAGCTCGATTCTCTTCATCGCCGACCTGTTACATTTTGACTGTTTTAGTTTTTCGATTTGCATCGACCCGATGTCTTCCATTTCCCAATTACTGTTGTCACTGTTGAACTTAGTGTATATCGTATTTATTTATCTATTAATTTTGTTTTACCAGGATATCCTCAGCGGGCAGTGAGAGAGTAAATAACAGTAGCAGTTGTAATCACAGAAAGCAGGGTGACGAGATTGGGCTGACTTTGGCAAGTACTAAGTTTCACTGACCACCAATCACGGCAGTTTTCGACACCAGCTGGGTCGAAAGGGACGCTTTGCTTCTCGCCTTCATGAAAATGGAATGTTTTTATGTCTGATTTTTATCCTCTTGTTTTTCCATTCAGCTGTTAGCGAAAAGACGTTTTGATGGACTTCGCATCGATCTTCTTCTGCTTGCCCTGATGAAGTTTTGTGTGAGGTCGTTCGAAACTTTGTCCATCTTCGTAAATTTGTTTTCTCATGTCGCTAATCATTGAATCGGAAAGCATTGTGATTTTATCTTGCAGCAATCATGAAGGACCTGAATGAAAGGAGGTTAGAGAAAGTACTGTTATCCTAGCAACCTGTTCATTGCTGAATATTGATCCTTAAAGCAGATTTTTCTTTTAGAGCTTGTGCTATTTTTACTAAACTCTCTAGTCGGTCAAAGCGAACTATCGTTGTAAAGCACACGCATCATGCATCGTGGCCATATGTCTCGTACTCAGAAACATAAGCGTGTCGTAGGGCCAATGTTATTGTTGTTGTTTTCACAGATCAGCGATTTTTCATTCCCTCCTCTCTTGGCTTCATCAAAGCACGGCCAAGTGAAACTGCAGTTCACTGCGCCATTGCCCACATTTACACCACCCTCTCATACCTACTTCGTTTCCCAAAAGTAAGCACATTTGGGATCATTTTCAAGCAGTAATAAACCAAGCCAGAAGTTTGATCTAATAGTTGCCAGTTTTTAACGAGAATCCTATTTGAGAATAAATTACGAAGGTTATCATTATTTTATGAGCCGCAAATGTATAACCATGCTGTCCTACTCTTAGGTGGGATCTGACTGGTAAAGTCGAAAATAATTGAAACGTCGATAGTTTAGGACTGTCCGGTCGTTATAGGTTAGATGTAACATGAATATAGGAGCCATATTTAAATCACATGTCTAAATGTTTCTGATCTGATGCTGAATGACTAGGCTTTTAAATACTGTTACCGTTTTATTCCTTCCCTGATTGAAGATGGTTTAGCAATGTTGTAGGACTCGACTTTTCTCAGTGACTTGCTTTCTTAAGTTTTCTATACGCATGCTTATCTGCCTTATCAGGCGAATATGCCAAGATGATTTGTTTTCTATGAGTACTGTCCATATCAGAAAAATTAACTTTTTTACTGAAGGTTCTGTGGAACATAGCTTTGTTCTTCTGATGGGTATTTTAAATTGTTTGTTAATTTTACTTTTTATCTACCTGATCGACTAATTATTTTATAATATTTCATTAACCCTCCTTGAAAATGGAAAGTAACAGTTTGTAACTGATAGAGCGATGTTAGAAGCGAATCGCATAAGTTCGGCTGAAATGTACAATTCGTCAGATGTCGTGGGCTTTACAGGCCGGCCGCTGCCAAGTTTCATTGGAGTCTGTTTCTTCTGCTTTTTTCTGATCAGCTATAATAAAGTTTTTTCGAATTATCTTCTCCTTGATATGTAGAAATGAAACCATACTTGGAACCATTCTAGGCAGGCGAACAAATTTTTTATGCATTGCCCACCTTCAGAATTCTGCTCTTGATCATGTAGGCAAACCATAAAGGATTTTAGGGTTATCTTTGATTATTCAAAGATGATTTCTAGTCTGCACATCGTATATTCTTCTCCACGAGTTCAGCAGCTTGTCTGCCAACACAAGTATCATTTACCTCAAAGCGATTTTTACAGCTGATTGCTGGGCGGCGTCGGAAGAAATCTTTAACCTTGTCTAGCAGTCTTGCAATTGTAGGAGGTTAGTCAGTTTTATTAATGTTTTCTCTGTTTGCTGCGGACTTTCGTATTCACCGTCTCCCGGCTTGTTAAAATCTGTCTACGATCTGACCTATGTGGGACCCGTAGGACGCTACACCAATCTTACACCCTCCGAATATATTTACTGGTTTCTGTATAGAAAATGATTTTCTCCACAACCACGGTAAATCTTTTATGAAAAAGAATGAAAATTCTCTTTCATTGAAATAGCTAACTTATCTGCACTTTGTCTGGTCGCCTTGAAACAGTATTTTGATGTTCACAATTCGGTCTTGCTTAATGTTATGCTTAATGTTATGAACATGTATTTATCCAGTATGGAAGAATTAGGACATCGTCGTTTCTCATTGAGGTCTTGTTGGCCTCGATCCTCCTCAAAAGTTACAAATGACTGTTTATGCCAAAATTTTTAAACTGCCCTACGTATCCTGTAAGTTTGCTGTCTTCATAGGCAGTATGGCTGACTCATTCAACTTGTCTTTAAGCTATTTGGTCGTCAGGGCACAATTCTTTGAAACAAACTCGTAAATGCTCTAGTCACCTCTGCTTTCAATGTTTTTCTAGGTCTTTATCTTCTTCATTATCTTCATCTTTCGTGGCCGCTTCTCCTTTCCAGTCGCGGAGGCAAGCACGTCAGACAGAGCTTCCAAAGTTTTTGATCTTGTGCCAGAGTCTGAGCTTCGGCAGAAAACAACTGGAGTATGGAACAGACTCCTTCCATACAGGCTTCCTTCCGCACTACGTTAATCTTGGCCGTCCCTTGGGCCTTCTTCCTTTCGGATTCGCAAGAAACATCTACTTAGCCTTCCTTTCTAGAGGCATCGCAGCACATGCCCAGACCATTGCTGCTATGGCTTCTCATTCTGGAGAAGCAGAGGCTGTACACCAAAGCTCTCCTGCATGTCACTGTTCCGGACCATGTCGAGACACGTAAGGTCAGCGACTCGTCTGAGATAGCCCATTTCAGCAGCGTGTGCCCAGGTTCAACGATTTTCAGTCATGGTTTACGACTTATGACCGTAGGTAAGCATGGTGATAAAGATCGCCTTGAACACCGAGAGGTAGGTTTTTAGACTGAGCTCTGCATTATTCACAATGGATCGGGCCAGTTCACGCAAAACGCCACTGACTACTCCAATTCGCCCGTCGGTCTCTTCCTCATATTTATCAACAATAGTAATTATGACTCCAATGTACTAGAACTTCTACACCTGTTCCACTGCTTCTCCGTTAATACAAAGAGTGCAACGGACAGGAGAACGATATAGCACTGGGCTTTTCGTTTTAGATGCGTTAACCCATGCTGGTCACGTCGCACTCGGCTGCGAACCTTTCTACGGAGCACCGTAGATCAGTTTCAGAAGATGCCTATAGAAGAAGGTCGTCTCCAAACAGCAGCCTTCTCGTCTCCACATCTACACCGATACGGTCATCGCCTTGGCAGCGCCTGACTATTCTATCTATGTACAACAGAAATAGGATGGAGGACAGGACGCAGCATCGACGGAGGCCAGTGCAAATGTTCAAAGGTTTTCAAAGGTGTTCATCTTAACACCATTTACTCTGACGTAGCACCTGCTATCAGAATACAGTGATTGATGGCCCTTAGCAGCTGGCCGTCTATCTCGTATGCTCGAAGGCATGACCGCGGACTGTTGCGCGGGACCCGGTCATATGTTTTTTCTAGGTCAACAAAACACATGTACACCTCTCGGGCTTACTCCCACGATCTCTTAACGATCTTACGCAATGCAAATATTTGGTCAGAGGTGCTATAGACCTGTACCAAGGTCAACGCATTAACTCATTGTAGCTCCAGTCGAAGGATTACCACCGTTCCGCTGACTGGCTTCCAGTCAATGATTCTGTCTACCAGAACACCAATACCGGCCTGAGCGCGCGTCGTGATATCGACACTTGAGTAGAATAGCTTCAGTCCATTGAGGTTCAGGAGTCCAGAGCCTGAGCG